TTCACAGAAAGGAGTAAATCGTTTGTAGTTCACTGATGACAACCTGCTGCATAGCATTCTTCATGGAGTTAGAGCTTCATCTTTATGTTATTTGCACAGAGGTAGCAGATGGGATTGAAATACCACAGGGTGTGTATATATAAGCAAATACAGGAGCTTTGTAACCCAGAAAGCAAGAGATGACAGGTGGATGCAAGTAACGCTTAAGGGCAAAAGTAATGATGATGAGGCTGGAGGAGGTCACAACAGACTGCTACTTTACAAAAAAGTATGGGATTTAGAAGGAAAGTTTAGGGAGCTCCTTGCAAGCAGGAAATAAATGTTCTAAGCAGCAGGGTTTGTTCATCATTATTCTGTTCCACATTGTGACATTTCGTATCAGTTGGCCCTGACGCTTTCTGGTTTTACTGTCGTGGTTTGGACATTTCTGAGTGTAGACAAGTAGAAGACAAAAGGCCATTCTCTGTTGCATTTCTGGTGCTCTTTCACAGTTCAGTTCCTCCAGGAATAGTTCAAAAGATGCTGCAGCAGAAGACTTGGCACAAAACAAGAAAGCTGGTTGGGTTTTGTCCACTTGTTTTTTAACTGTCTCCAGGCATATAATTTAACTTTTCAGTTGTAAAATTTGAGCTGTTACCAGTGGGTGAAGACTGATTAGATGACTGAATAAATCATTTGGATAGGGCATCAAAAGATCCTACTTCTCAACACCCTGTGTCTCTAAAGTTACTTATCCTATCTAGGTACTGAATTTGGTAGCTGATTCCTTGCATGAAGAGTTTAAGCATCCTGAGTAAAAAGCACAGAATAAACATCAGCTGCTGTTTTTGATGATTTGATGTCGTTATAGAGCACGACACAGTACAAAGTACCACGACTCCATCAGAAGGGTGCAAGAGAGATTTATTATAGCAACATGTTGCTTTTATACTTTTCCAAGGTACTTACATTCACTTAACATACACATTCACTGCCCATTGGTTATAGGAAAGAAACAAAGTTCTCAGTGGGTGACCAAGGAGCCAGGTCATTCTGTGAGCCAGCTAGAGTCTGTATCTCTTAATTTTCTCTCCTTCATCATGTCTCCATGGTGACAACCTTGGTGTCTTCCTCAGGGGAGATATGGGGCTTTCCTTTATCTTCAGGAGGCCTTTGCTGGCTCACAAGAACAGCACAGAATGTCTTTCCTACAATTTGAAATGTTCCTATTCTGCTTCTAGGGGCAGTGGTGGGCACTTGAAGTTGCTGGAAGACTTAGGGTAATGTGATCGGTGTGAATTCATGTGATCGCTTGTTGTGCAGCCATATTGGAAAAAGCTCTTTTGCACAAAATCTTTTGAAGTTGTTTCCTTTTGCTCTTCGTGCAGCGTCCCATCATCTCCATCTGTTGGGGTCACAGGGATTCCCGCCTGCTGATGGCCTCTGGGCCCGCGCTGTACGTGGTGCGAGTGGAGCACAGGGTGTCCAGCCTGCAGCTGCTGTGCCAGCAGACCATCGCCAGCTGCCTGCGGGATGACAAGGACATCAGCAAGCTGACCCTGCCCCCTCGCCTCTGCTCGTACCTCACCACTGCCTTCATACCAACAATCAAGGTAAAATGAAAGACATGGGTGCTTGTGAAGAGGGAAGTGCTGCTAGATCTCCCCCCTCCACGGTGCTCCTAAGTGGCAATGGCTAAATGATAAGATTTTATAATTTTAAAAGCTTTCGCATCCTCTTCAAGACCCCACTGATGCATTTGGTGCCTATTAAAAATCTGAAAAGAAGGCTCACACATGCTGAACTGCATTATTCCATGGAGATGGCCTTTCCTAGTACAAGGGTAAAATATGCTGGTGACTCATAAAGACTTCTGAAGAAGCTCACGCTGGTGATAATGCTCTGTCACGGTTACAGGGGTAGAACTGTACCCCCTCTACATGTCACAGGAGTGCTTATATTCCCAGGAAGGTTAGGCTTAAGACCTGGGACTGCCCAAACATTTCTACTAACACTGAGTTCTGCTAATCTTATTGCTCCAACAGTGCTATGGGATAATGAGCCAGGTACCACACCTTTTCCTGTACCACCAGCAGAATCATCTGCACAACCTGTTTGTTTCATAGTTGGGCCCTCAGTAACATCTTGGGATTTCCAAGCTGTTTATCACAGCCTATAAACCAGAGCATTAGCTGGTAAATGCTTGGCATGCAAACATACATTTTTGTGATTTTTTGTGTATGTATTACACCAGTCTCTTCATCCTGAGCTCCTCGTTAAAACAATGCAGAGCTAGAAAAACTAATTTGAAATCAGTGGGGCTGACCCAGCTTAAATGAGAAAAAATTATGCCTACAAAATAAAAATTCAGTATGGTTCCATTTGGGTTCTGCTAATCAGGGCAGTTTGTGCAACTGTAAATAATTTTATTTGTCAAAGAACAATGTAAATGCCTTGCTGTAACCATAACTCCTGGATCTCCAAAGATGCAGAGCATTTACCAGGCCGGAAGTCTCCAATTCTTTCTAGTTCTTTCCATCCATCTCCCCAGGATGATTCCCATGTTGTTCCAGAGCCACTCCTCTCTAGAGCATCAGTGACAATTCCTGGCTGTCAGGGCAGGCAGGGGAGGGGAGGGGAGGGGATGGGCTGGATGAGGGCAGCAGTTGGCTGGGAGCCCTGGTGGGGGTCAGAGGGCAGTGCAGGGACACATCACTGCCAGCAGTCCTTGTGTCACCTCCTAGTGGAGATGCAACGATGCAAAGCGGTTGTGGTGCTGCGTGGGTGAGAGGTGGGAGCAGGGTTTCCAGAACCTTTTTTTCCACGTGCCTGTCCTGTTTCATGGCTGTTTCTGGGGCCTCATCAGCACTTATGCTTTACCCTGGATCATCCCAGTCACCCACTGCACCTATGTTGTCAGCCATGCCTTTAGTGCTAGGCAAGGCATCCTCTTCCCTGCAAATGTTCCTCTTCCCCCTCCAGCTTGCAGAACACATTACAGGTCACTCCTCAGTCTATACCCATTTGCCAGGTTAAGGAAGCCTATTTTTTTTCCTACCTTTTTTTCCTTATGCTTTCATTTTGAAAGAAACTCTGTTGACTTACACACATTAATCGTATTAGTGTCATACAGGCTATATTGTCCTAGACAAAAGCAGTCCTACTGCTTTAGGATTGAGTTTTTCATGGATTAATACAGTGTGCAAGCAAGCAGGGCAAAATAACCCAAGCTTTGTGTTTGTATTTCTCTACATGGCACACAAATAAGCCCTCAGCTAGGATGGGATATGGGCTTGGAAGTGATATAAAAAGTACAAGCTTCTTCCAGAGCTGACAGCATTATAGCATAGTGGCATAGCATGTACCAATATTAACCAGGAGTGGGATCTGAGTGTCCAGGTGCACTTCCAGGGCCTGGAGGGGACAAGATACTCTGATACTTGACCACATTACTCAAGTTCAAAAAGAAGTTTCTGTTAAGAGCTGGAACTTGAAGACAGGTTTGTTGTCTCATTCAGTGCGCTGACCACAGGTTCAGCCTTCCTTTTTGATGTAACTAGTTTTAGTTTTTATTTTCTCTATACAACCTTTTTTGATCTAACTAAATAACACACTGCCATTCCATCTTGCATGTGGGTCCTGCATAACTCATGAAGTAACCTATACTAATCTTCACCTGCCAGATTAGAGCTGGGTTCAAGTTCAGTTGGTTGTGTTGGGATTAAGTCACCACAGAAAAGAACCCCAACCAATATGGGAAAACTTTCTCTTTCCTTCCTCTGTTGAATGAAGCCTCCAATCCCAGACCCAAACAATATGAGAGATTTTGTCAGCTACCCAACAGCTGGGAACGAGCGGCTGCACTGCACCATGAAGCGGACGGAGGATGACCCGGAGGTCGGGGGTCCCTGTTACACACTGTACTTGGAATACCTTGGGGGGCTGGTGCCCATCCTCAAAGGACGTCGGATCAGCAAGCTGCGGCCGGAGTTTGTCATCATGGATCCTAAAACAGATGGAAAAGCAGGTACATTTCAGTTGTTGCTCTGTGTAAAAATGATTTAGCAACACTTTGGACGCTAAATCCTCAGGAGTTTTAAAAAATACATACGTGCAGTATGGATGGTGGCATCTATTATTTTTTCTGATGTGAAAAAAATCTTTTGCGTGACCTAGAAGCTTCTGAAATTATACCCTACTGCCTTCTGTTTTACAGAAGAGAACTTCTTGTATTCTGAGTAATGGAATATAGATTGCTAATTAGCAGAAAATATTCTTTAGTCTCAATTTCGAAGTCAGTTGGATGCTATTCATCCCTCTGAATAATGTTCACTTGAGTTCAAACCATTGGAAATTTGGAGTTGGAAGGCAGAGTGGAGAACATTTAATTTCCCTCTACAAAGTTTTATTTCAACTGCTGCCTGTGGATCAGGTTTATGCTTCTGATGACTGAGAGTTATAATTTATAGCAGTTTTCTGAAGCAGCACCTAAATTTTCTGGGGCCTGTCTTGATAGATGAAATCTATGGAAACAGCTTGATTTCCACTGTGATTGACAGCTGCAACTGCTCTGACTCCAGCGATATCGAACTCAGCGATGACTGGGCAGCAAAGAAATCTCCAAAAATCAGCCGAGCTAGCAAATCACCTAAACTCCCCAGGTAATAACCTCTTGGATAGGTCTTCTTTTTCCTCAAGTGGCCTCTCTTCCTCCCTGCCTCTCCTTCCCTCTCTTGACACCTTGTTAAATGAAAAGTAAACTCCTATGGGCACATAGGAATTCTCTGTAAGATTGGGATCCTCAGCAATGTGCGGTTCTGGGATGATCTCAGAGATTGGCATAGAGCTGGACTTATGGGAAGATTTCTGGGACACAATGTAATGGGAAACAATAGAGCACAATTTCTCCCCACGCAGTCTCAAAGAAAGATTTTATAAACTCTCCCACCTTTCCTTTTCTTTCTCTCTTGACACCATGGAATATATTTTGTCCTTCTAACAGACTGTTTTTTACTTTTGTTTGTTACATTTCTTCCAGTGAACTCTTTAGGTGCTTGAGCTGGTATTCTTGACTCTGCCTTGTGTAGTGGGAGGTAGAAATGACTTGGCTTTGGGTAGGAACACTGACAACATTTGTGGAGCCTTGGTTTGCTGTATATACTAATGTGAAATCTGTCAGCTGAGGTGTCATGTTCTCATTTCTTGAGACTTTGCTCAAACTCTGCATAGCTGAGATCATTTATCTCTACACCTTTTTGGGATTAGTGGAAGACAAATTGTATCTGGCAGAGCTGCTGGAAGCTTTGTTAGATTCATTAGAAAACATCTAGCATGAGTTACTGCAAGTGTGTCAGGTCTTCAAATTTGACCCATAATTCTCCGTCCTGTAGGCTCTACAGTTTTTATTAGTCACTTTGAGGACATCCTACCAGTTGTCTTCTTCTTACATCTTTTTGTTCAAAGACATGAGTTTTGTGCATTTTTGCCTGCCCGTTGTTGATTCCAAGTATTGCTTTACCTGCAGAATCAATATAGAAGCTCGCAAATCTCCCAAGATGTCACGAGCTGCACAGGAGATCTCAAGATCACCAAGGTTACCAATAAGGAAACCCTCTATTGGTTCTCCAAGCCTGACACGAAGAGAGTTTCCTTTAGAAGACATTACTCAGGTATTGTGCACATTGTTACCATACCTGATTCAAATGCTTTTTTTTTCATGAGGCAGCATATTGTGGTAGAGATCAAATGATCAGCAATGAAAGTTTGCATTATGTTATAATAAGTAGATAGAACTAGAGAATTGCATTTTCCAGTTCAGTACTAATGTTTGAAAGTGCCAGTGGAATATGAGGTGGTGTTTGGCAAGTACCAGGAGCAGTTACTTTTGTCAGTGTGAATCCATGTGAGATGTTTTATTCTAGGTGATGTTGTTGGCTTTTTGAGAGTGTATGTGAAAGCACTTCATCAGTTTTTCAGACCCGTGTTAATGCCACCATGATTCTCTGCTTTGCTAGGGATTGCAGAGATAAGGAAATGTTTGCTTCAGAGGACCACACGGTCTGTTTCGTAATTAACATGAAACAGTCTTACTTGGAAGGAAGGAAAGGAATTACCACTTTGTGCTCTTTGTGGTATTCGTGTCCTCTGGGAAAATGAAACTTAGCAAGCTGTAGAACTGTCTAGGTTGTATATTTCATTAATAACGGCCTGTGTTATTGTAATTTTCTTTTGTTTGGCTTGGTTTTTTTCTGCTCTCTTGTTTTTCCTTTTTATGAAAAATTCTAAACAGTTACACGAAGATAGGACCAGAAGCCCTTTGAGTAGAGCAGAAGACCTGAGGCTTAGATCCTGCTCCTGATACTAGCAGCATAACTCCTGGCCTTTGAGAAAAGTCTGTTGGTCTTTCAGACCCATAAATATGTGTACCATGGCAACAGTGGTTTGGGAAGTTGCTTTAGGAGCTCCAGGGGAATATATGTTTGTTATGAGTAATTAATTTCTGTCTTGTTTATTGTTCTATAAAGTGATTCATGAGCATAGAACCAACGGGCAGGGTGTATCACTCTCTGAAATACAGAATAGCCTTGGTCCTGCTGGGCAGGAGCAGCAAGTGCCAGAAAACAGACCTGTTCTCACTAAACAGGCATTCTCCACTAAGTGTTGTTCAGATCTTCAATAGCTCCAATCACCCTGTGGCTGATGCATACATCATTTCTGATGGTGTTAAGATATCAGAATGAGGCTTCTTAATGACTGGATAAAACTGTTGCTACATAGGCACTTTAGGCTCTTTCAATACAATAAACACAAGATAGACTGAAATTGCATTATCACTTGCAATAGCTTGATTGCTCTGCAGTTTTTTATTAGAGCTTGATACAGATTTTATCAGATAAAAATGATCTTGTTTTTGTTTTCCAGCACAACTACCTTGCTCAGGTCACATCTAATATCTGGGGAACCAAATTTAAAATTGTGGGTTTGGCTGCTTTCCTACCAACTAACCTTGGTGCAGGTAAAAGTAAACTGTTGATTTTTTTGCGTGTCAATTTCTTTCTAACAAACAAGAAACTTACGCCATGAGATTTTTTGTAAGTGATCAAAGCACTTATTTTCTGTGGACAGTGAGAGTTAGATCTTATTAAATTCACTGTAACTAAAGAAGATTAAAATCTATAAATACAATAAGGAGATATCAATAAAATGCTAAAAATCTCACTTGTAATAAAACAGTAAATCAACATTTGAGCCTAGACCTCTATTTTTATAGTTTATTGGAACAAAACCCACACAAATAAAAAAAGGGTTTTCCAAGAGGACTATAGAAATAATAGGTTTAAATTACTGCCATAGAAGTATTTTTTAAGGTCAGATTTTATAGTTATGTAGCTACAAATTCTATGAAAAAGCTATTACAGCCTCATGCTCAAGATTCTTTAAGTCAGTGCAGAGCCTCATCACATGGTTCTCCTGCTGGAGCATCAGTAATCTAGAAGCCATCATTAAAAGCAGCAGTTGTCTATCATCAACCTTTTTTCAGGGTAGGCCAGTTCTGCCCAATAGTCCTGTTGGGAAGGAAGAAGGCTGGCTAAAAAACAGGGTACCACACCGCAGAACTGAGCTCTGAACTGAAATATTAACACAAGTCTAGCAGTCTAATGAGCTCTTTAGAACACTTATTTTGTCCCATGCTGCATTATGTAGTTGGGTCAGGAGTACATAAAGGTGCCCTGGATGCAGAATTGGGTGGATAGCTTTTGTGGCTATATGGACTGCTGTCAGCAGTTGAATGACGAAGTTGAATGACCACAGGTCATTCTAATTCTCTCACTGCCAGTGGCAGATAGGGAAGGATTTAAGTGTAGAGTAAATGGATAGTGATACTTCTTTCAAATGTTCTCCCAGTCTCCAATTGTTTGGTTCCCGGGATTTCCTGAGCCCAGTGGGATTTCTTTGTATGTGGTAACCGTCAGCAGATTTCCTTCCTGAGAGCTTTCCAGTTTTCCCCTGTAAATTGGTAGAATCCTGTGGTGAAAAGTTTCAAAAGTAGAATGGAAAAAAGTCTTTTCCTTCCATAAAAATAGATGTGCATACAAGATGAAGTAATTAATTATTTAATTACAGAGATGTTGCTTCCATTTAAAGAGAAATAGCTGAAAGCAGCAATCTCTTTTATCCCATTTATGCAAAGTGTTACATAGTGATTTGACAAATAATGGCTCACCCATGCACATGTATACAGTAAATAACAATATTCATAGCCCTTCTGTCTGCTTTGAATTGCTTCTTCCTTGGCTTTACATGCTGTCTGTGTAACAAACTTTTTTGTTTCTTATATTCTTTCTCTAGTAATATATAAAACCAGTCTGCTGCATCTGCAGCCCAGGCAAATGACAATATATCTCCCAGAAGTGAGGAAGATTTCAATGGACTACATTAACATGCCTGTCTTTAATCCAAATGTTTTCAGCGAAGACGAAGATGATCTACCAGGTAAGGAGGAGCTGGAGGGCTGCCATGTTATGGGTTAAGCTAGATGGAGGTCAGGTTGGTTGTGTCATGGTCCCCTCTGGTAAACACACAAATCAAAATCCCTTAGTCTGATGGGGTTCTGTAGAACTGAGTTAGAATAAGGCTAAATATGTATTATGGGCATTGTCTTCTGTGATGTGTGGAAAATATAATCCATAAAGAGCTCCTTAGTTTCAAGTTCATTGGGAAATTAGTCATCTGCTAATTCATCTTAGTTTGCTAGGAATTCTCCACAGACTGAAGCCTTGCATTCTGCATCTTGATGGGACAGAATTGCAATCTGTTGGAAATCCAGACAGGCTGTTCTTGAGACCTGATGGCATCAAAGCTGATAGGACCTTGGGTTGGAGAGCAGGTTCCCATAAAACTCAGCCACCCTTTGAGAAGTGATAGATGCTCATTTGGATTTTTATCACTACTAAGAGGCTAAAGTAGTAAAGTAGTCAACAAACAAAGCAGGATCAGGAAGAATTTTTCACTTCACTGAGGTAGCAGAAGATTTAAGCAGTGCAGGGAAGGTTTGGGTGCAGGTGATGTGATGTGGGAGGGGAAAGGACTGGAAGTACTCAAGACCTCCTCCAATCAAAACAAAGTCATCATGCCAATAAAATTAACAAAAAACAGAAAAGAAGATAAATTTTTACAGTTTCAGAACTTTCATATTACTGAGAGATTCCTGTTGCCTGGTCACAGGTTTTTGAAACTATGGAAGTGGCTGTCGTGCCAGTACCCTTTAAAAAGGAAGGAGTATGAGCACTGCAAAGCAATTAAGAACAGTGCTAAAATCTACTGAAATAAATGGAAATGTTCTCATTATTTCAGACCAGGATTTCAACTGCTGACAGCGGCAAAGTTTTTGTCTGACCCAAGCACTCAGAACAGTCCTCTGGACTTCTAAAGAAATACTTGTATGTTTCAAATTAAGCCCATTTTTTTCACAATCTGGGGGACTTGTCCTGCTTAATTTCTGTCAGTGTGATACTTATCTGTAGTGTCTGAAGAAAATAATAGAGACCATATATATTATATACCATATATTATTATATATATTGGTGACCATATATATATTATTAATAGGAAGCACCCAACGTTCACTATTATGAAACACAGTCCAAGCTGTCAGAAAGTAATATAAAAACTTAATAGAAAAGAAAGAAGTTAATACAAAGTTTTCACATCTCTTCCTGAAAATTGGGTTGAATCTGCACTAAGAGATGAAATGGTGCTTATAATTGCAGGTACATAAACAGAGAGAAAATTATAAGAGACTCTTGTAACAGCTATTTGAGAAGGCTATAAAAGAATTATACTACTCTGTCCTTCTAACAGCCTTCCTCTTATCCATTTTTTCCTTTCTAGTTTCTTCTGAGAATATATTTCTGACTTAGTAAATGGTGGCTACTTTAATCTTCAAAAATGTTTTTGGGGCTATCCTTCCTAAAGCCTGCACATAAAGGAAGAAAGTACCACCTACTAAAGGAAAAAGTATTGCAGGGTAAATAATGATTACCTGATAGATTAGAAAAAACATGGTAGAAAGCAGCTCTTGGGCAGTGCAATGTTCATAGTGAGGTACACTTGGGACAGGTGTTTTTTAATGTGGTCAGTAAAGATTTGGCAAGACAAATGCACAGTGAATTAATTTCACTTACAAAGTATGCAAACTAATCAATTAAAAACCATTGGAGAAATGAAGAAAAGGTTGGATTTAAACACTCAGGAGTAATAAGCAACATCACAACAAATGATATTTTGTTGGATAAGGCAAAATGACAGCAACATTTGGGGCTGTTCAAGCCAAGCTAACAATTAAACCTCAGGCTCTGGCAGCTAAATTGCTAAGCCTGCAGGCATCAGGGTGAAAGCATGGCCTTCCAGCCAAGCACAGAACCACAGAACTGCCTTGGGGTCAGTTAAGTTTGGCTCTTGTCTTCCTCTAAAGGAATGAACTGAACTACCATAAGGATTTGCCAGTCCAGCCACAGTGCTGTCTGTACACCCCTCCCACGTTCATAACTGATGCTGGTAAAAGCCTGATGTTACCGAAAATGTAATCATAGGGCATAGGTAGATTACCTGAATTTTAATTAGAAATTAATTAGGAACTGGGCAGTGTTTGGAGGGGCCCTGACTCATGGATCTCTTACATGATCTGGTCGTGCAAATCAGAGGTCTCCACAGAATTTGGCACACTTAAATATGGATATAGAACTGGATAAAAATTGGATGTGACACTAGATCCTTGGTCTCTTTTCCTTCCACAAACTTACTGATACAACTCACTCACCATTTTCTGTGGGGTTTTTTACAGGAAGTTTAATAAAAAATAAAGAACTTGCAATATTCTTGGAAGTTCTAATATAGTATTTACTGTTTTACCCCTTTATTCTGTTTTGTTCCTTCTTGACTACTGCACCTCTACTTGGATCCAGTGTCTTCATTTTCCTGTTCCAGCTTTTCAGTGGTAGTTCCTATTGGAAACAATCACTTTTTGCAAAAGGAACTGCAAACAATTGAGCACTCTTCACTCTTCTGCTCAAAATCATGAGAATTTCTTCTTGCCACATTTTCCCTTTTTCAGTGCCACCACATGTGTGAAATTTTTCCTCATATGCATATGCTTCTTTATACATTTCTGATTTCAGCCTGTCCAAACATTAATGCTGCAGTTGCCCTGACTACAGTACCCACTTCCTGAATCTTCTTGGCTTCCCATCTATTTCCTCACATTTTCTCCTTACAAATCTGAGAACTTTTTAGAAGATTTGTCTGCATTTCATTCTATCATATTCCCCTCTCTCTGTTTCAGCTTCCTTGCTTTTGCATGGCTGGTAGGTTTGTCACCCACTATACTCAGCTTTTGCCCACTATTGTCTGTGTTCTCCAGTTCTCTCCAGCTCAGTGAGTCTAGGAACCTCATACTAGATATTATACAGTGTCTTCAGTGCAGGTCTTCAGCTTTCTTAGCCTCCACTTCTTTTGTTTATTTGCTTGTTTGCTTTGTTCAATTGTTTGTTGATTTGTTGTATTTACT